GTGTGTGGTTATATAAAAAATAGGCAAAAAATTTGAACAGATACTTCACAGAAAATAAATGCCTAATAAACACATGAAAATAAATGTTAACATCATTAATCATCAGAGAAACGCAAATTAAAACCACAATGAGACATCACTACTCACTTATTAGAATGGCTAAAATTTGACAGACAATACTAAGTGTTAGGAAGGATGTAAAGCAACTGGAACTCTCATACGTTGCTGGTGGGAATGTAAAATATTATATCCACTTTGGAAGACAATTTGGCAGTTTCTAATAAAGTCAAGCAAACATCACATAACCAAATAACTCCACATCTAGGTCTTCACCCAAGAGAAACATATATTGACATGAAAACCAGTGCACGAATATTTACAGAAGTTTTATTTGTAAAAGCCAAAAACTGGAAACAACCCAAATGTTCATCATCATACGAATGGGTAGACAAATTGCAGTCAATCCATGCAATGGAATACTTAGCAATAAAAAGGAACAAACTATTGATATGCCAATCATGAATCTCAAAAACATGCTGAGAGAAGCCAAGCACGGAGAATACATACTGTATGATTCCATTTATGAGAAATTCTAGAAAAGACAAACCTAATCTATAATGACAAAAAGTAGATCAGGGATTTCCTAGCATTGACAAATTAGTGGGGGAAGATTAACTGAAAGAGGGATAAGGGAACTTTTTTGGAGGGAGGGAACTGTACTGTATTTTGATTGTAGTGATGGTGACATGGGCATGTACACTCATCAAAACTCAGAACTATACATCTTAAATGGGTGTATTTTATCATGTGTAAATTAAACCTAATAACATTGATTTTAAATACATATATAGCACATATTCTTTGACCTAGCACTCCATTTCCAGGAATCTATCTATGGAAATACACACGTGTACTTGGATGCTCAATGGAACATTGCTATAATCAAATACTACATAGTTGTTTTAAAAATGAGGTAGACTTATACATATTGACATGGAAAAAAATCTCCAAGACACATTGTTAAATAAAAGATGCACGTTGAATAACACATCGTCACATGTTCCCATCTGTTTGAAAATATGCAAAACAAATATCACAACCACACAGCAAGTATTTACCTTTGGGAAAGGATGAAGGAGGACTTCATGCTTTATTCTGTATTATTGGACTCTTTTACAAAGTAAGAGTATTCATGAATTGCTTGGGTAATGTTTAAGGACTGAAAATGAAACAAGAAGTTTTGGTGGTTGTTTTTTAAGAGGAGTCACCGAATTTGAGAATGAATCTTCAGTCAAAGCCCAGGATAGCATTTAAGAAGAAAACAAAGGTTTAGTGAAAATACACACACACAAGAATTGCTACTTCTGATAAAAGAGGGACTGTGGAGTTCACCGGATCAATACAGAAGAAACCCCCAACTTAAATAATTACTTATCCTGCAAGAACACAAGTATTTCCTCCTCTGTGAGGTCTTTCCCAGTTTCGAAGGCATTTCTAAGTCTATTATCACCTTATCTTTGTTCCCACTAGATCTGTTCCATGCAGGTATGTGACCTCGTGCCAAGCTAACCAAGCGTCAACACTTGACACTCATTTGATACACGAACCAGACAGGTATGTTCCCAAAAATGACCCACGGTTTGATTTTTAGAAATTCAAAGAATTGCTACTATCCTCAACTCCTCAGCAAAGTAGCTTCAAAACTGGTTTGACCAAGGTGCCAGGCCCTGATCCTCTCTGGGTAGAGATTAGGGGGTGAACTCAGAGCAGAGCTCTAAGAACAAGAGTTACCCCTCCCACAAGTGGGATGAAGGGGTCTCCTCCAACTTACCTTGAAAGCTGCAACTTTTCCGGATATGGTACAAGCAGATCTGATCACTCTCCTCCTGGCTAAGAGTATTTGGGGACATAGGACCTGAACTGTTTTTTCCTTCTGCAAAGAAACACCAGAGATGTGTCAGCTTCTGATATGGGATTAGAGTAGTTCAAGGTGCAAAGGAGAGTAAAGAGGATTCATTCCTCTCTCTGCATGAGACAAAAGTAGACAAGGCAAGCTCACAAAGTCCTATTGTGTTAGGGGTGAAGGTACCCCCACACAGGTGGGCTTTCCACTTTTTAGGGATGAGCTGGGAACCCCAGGCCACATGGCTGCTTGCCAAATCCAGGATGCTTGGAGGGGCTCTTTTGTCAACTTTGGCTGTCCGTCCAATTCACTAGAAGATCCATTTAAAAATACAAGTGCCCAACACCACCTCAGACTGACTGAATCTCAACCTCCAGGGTGAAGCCTGGGACACTTTTTTAATAAGGGGAAAGCCACTGTCCTACATGTTGACTCAGCTTAGGATTCTTAAGATGGTGATGACCCCAAAGGGCAAACAGAGGGCTACTTTTCATAAACTAGGTTTATATATAGCAAATATTTGTTAATGAACTATCAGAACTGGGTACTGGCCAGGTGCAGTGACTCATGCCTATAATCCCAGCACTTTGGGAGGCCAAGGTGGGAGGATCGCTTGAGGCCAGAAGTTCAAGACCCAGTCTCTACAAACGAATTTTTCTAAATTAGCCTGGCATGGAGGTGAGTGCCTTTAGTCCTAGCTACTCAGGAGGCTGATGTAGGAGGATTGCTTGAGCCCAAGAGTTTGAGGCTACAATCAGCTATGATGGTTTCCCTACACTCCAGCCTGGTAGGCAACAGAACAAGACCCTGTCTCTAAAAAAAAAAACCAAAAACAAAGAAAAAGAAAAAGAATTGGGTATAAATACCAAGAAGAGGACAATAAATCAAAAGTCTACATCTCAAAATAAAACCTCCTTAATTACTTTTAGGTTAATTATAAGAATGTTAATATAAAATGGGCATGTAAGTGCCAAGTTTTCCTTTTTTTTTTTTTTGAGACAGAGTCTCACCCTGTTGCCTGGGCTAGAGTGCCATGGCATCAGCCTAGCTCATAGCAACCTCAAACTCCTGGGCTCAAGCGATTCTCCTGCCTCAATCTCCCAAGTAGTTGGGACTACATGCATGCGCCACCACACCCAGCAAATTTTTTTTCTATTTTTAGTACAAACAGGGTCTCACTCTTGCTCAGGCTGGTCTCAAACTCCTAACCTCAAGCGATCCTCCCACCTCAGCTTCCCAGAGTGCTAGGATTACAGGCATGAGCAACACTGGCCCAAGTTTCCCTTTAGAGTAACATTCCAATGAGTCTTTACATGAGACATCTGTCCCTATCCACTTACCCCCAATGAGCACATAAAACTCATTCATAATCTCTTCCCACTGAGTGTCCCTGTCATTCTGTTATTCATTTTCCCTTTTCTTTTTATAAGCCCTGAGATATTTCACACACTGGGCCTCAAAACCCAGGCCTGTGGGACCCTGAAGGCCATCTCCCTCTCCCGTCGAGGGCAGGTGACTGCTCTTTGGACTTGACATCACTGGACAGTGGATCCTACCCTCCCTCAGTTTCTAATAAAGCCATAATCCAACTGATACTTTTAAAGATCTATTTAAAGCAAAACCTGTCTACTTCTAGGCTTCCTACAGTTGAAAGAAATTAACAAAAAATAATTGAAGAGAATGTAAAGAAAAAATACATGGTGAGGACAATCTTTAAATATAAAGTCAGGTAAGATTTACAGTGGTGAGTTTGCGGGTAGTCCCAACACACACCTGTCATTTTAGGAAGCTATTAAAATCATAGCCCCCACTACAGCTAAATGACCAGGTTTGATTCTGCATTCTGAGGGGCCACAACAATAGCCAGCCAAGGGGCCTGTATTGTGAAATCCAGAGGACATCAGTGTATCATAATCTCCCTGAGAGACCACGTTATTTATCTGCCAGACGACAGATAAGAAATGCCTATTAAACAGAAATCTCTGCTCAAAATTCCCCCACTTGCCTGTCACTAAGCCTGACATTCTTTTAAAAAAATAAGTTTCCTAGCACACTCATTCAACAAATGTCTGAGTGTCCACTGCAGGCCAGGCACTGTCTAGGTGCTGGATATGAGCAGGGAACAAAAGCAGACAAAATTTACAATGACTCAAAACATTCCATTTATTCATGTCAGGAAGATGTCTAAAATTAAGATATGCTTCACTCATTTTTTAAAATCCAACAGAATAAAAAGGATGCCCCTAGAGTTGTACAGCATGGCATTGCTAACTTCGGGGTGCCTCATGCAAAGGCAACATCTCTGAGGGCGTGGGGACAACTGCACAGGGGAATGGGCCGGCCAAGTCTCCCATTTCAGTGCAGATCAGGCCCATCTGGAATTCATTCATCATCAACACCAACTCCCATTCGTCTAGAACAGTTTGTTTGATCAGGTCTGTGATTTCGACTCATCCTCAAACTCCCCTAGGCCCTTGCCAGGAAAGGATCACCAACTCCATTTTACTAAAAGAAGCACAATTTTGCCCAAAGTCACACATTCTATTTACTGGCCAACTGGGATCCAGGAACCCCTGGCCCAAGGCATACTTCACTTTCCACCGGCCTTACCAGAAGTCCCCTGTGGGCCTGGAGAATGAGGAGGCGGCACTCTGCTCGGGGTGGAGCTCTTATTCTTGATGTCATGTGCATTTCTATAAATGGAAGGCAGCCTGCTCACCAGGTCTGGGCTCATGCCCAAATTCTCCAATTTTTCCAGATTCTCTGAATTAGAGAAATCATGGGATCTCTTACAGCTAGTGCCAAACTTGCATTCCCCCTGTAAAAAATACTGGCAGACATGGAGCTTGATACATTGCTTTTGAAAGGAACAAGAGCCATAGGGTCCATCTCCTTTGTTGTAATGTTGGCAGATCTGTTGACAGAGAGGGAAAAAAGACATCAGGTAAGGAAGGTCTCACATGGCACCACCTCCCCACTGGTTAGAAGAGGCCCTCATAGCCAAAGCCGTGATTCCTTCATCCACACGGAACAAAGATATGAGATTCATCCCTCACTCTAGATGATGGCTGCTAACATTTGCCCTTGGCTAAAATGGAACTGGGTAGAAAGCAGATTGCTCAGAACAAACCCCTCCGTTGGGAAAATCCAAAGCACTTCAAAGTGACCAGATCTGCTCCCTTCATATGAGACAGCGTTTTACTGTGGAACGAATGGCAGCATCCTACAGATTGCTACAATCTACCTACACTCTTCCCCCGTGGACTCACTAGCTCTCCCCTTCCAAGGCCCCAGTTACTCCCAACTCTCTTTTCTACAATTCAGAGTCAAAGAGGCTCTGAGGGGTTAAAGCATCTTTGAGAAGGCCAAAAACCACCTTTCATTTCCCAAGGGAGCACAAGGAGGCTCAGAGAAGTTAAATGGCCAGTCCCAGTCACACAGCTCTCTATAGCAACTGGCATATACAATGTTTGTTGAATTGTACTGTTGGCAAAGCTGGGACTTGAACTTCAGTCAACAGCTCTTGTCTCTACACTCCAAATTCCTGGAGGTGGGAATAAGGCCAGAGACCACCAAGGGCCCACCCACTTGATTCACAAGCATTACACTTCCCAAGATGCAGGAATACCCCAGAGGGCTGCAGAACCCAGACTTCCCCTGGCACTTACTTCTGGCAAAAGCCAGGGGTCGTTCTGAAACAAGAGTTGGCACAGCTCGCTATAGTTGAGGTGGTCAACGCCATGAGTTCTTAGCACACTCAGGTTGTGATCGGTCGTCAAGCTGTGACTATTTCTACAGTTCTTCCTACAAAGAAGCAGAGCTGGTGTTATGGGCTAAATTGTGTCTCCCCAAAATTCCTATGTTGGAATCCTAACTCCCAAAACCTCAGGATGTGACTGTACTTAGAGATAGGGTTTTTAAAGAGATAAGTTAAAATGAAGTCATTAGGGTGGGCCCCAATCCAACATGACTGCTGCCCCTAGAAGAAGAGATTAGGACACAGATACTCACAGAGGAAAGACCATGTAAAGACACAGAAAGAAGGTAGACATCTATAAGGCAAGGAGAGAGGCCTAAGAAGAAAGCAAGCCTGCCACACCTTGAACTCGGACTTCTAGCCTCCAGAACTGAGATAATCCATTTCTGTTGTTTAAGCCATCCAGTCTGTGGTACTATGTTATGGCAGCCCTGGCAAACTTAATAGCTGGTAAAAATCAGTCTTCATGACAATTTTTAAGGAACACTTCCTGTTATTGTTTACAAGCGCCAGAGAAAAACCAGCATGCTTATGCAACAACAAAAAAATGTAATGCTTATTTACCAAGGAGATGGGGCCTTGCAAGGTCTAGGGCCCAGGACAGCACCAGCAGGCATTTGATGAGAATGACAAGGCCACCATCCAAAGAGGAGTTATGGCATACGAGTTAGCAAGTACTTAACCATGTGCTAAATAAACAAGTGTGGTGTCTTATGGTTATAGGTGCACACATACACACACACACACACACACACACACACACACACAGACACACACACACACACCCCCAGCCCTTTTTTCTGCTCCCTTCCTCCATTCTTTCAATCCACAAGCATCTGGTAAGCACCAACTGTGAGCCAGGCACTGGCACCACGCCCTGCGGACCCAAAGACAAACCTTCAAATGACTGCCTGGGTCATAAGAACCCGGAAAAGTCAAGCAAATACCATTTGCTTGACTCAGACACTGTCATATCTCATATGCCATGCTCATAATAAGCATCTCAAGAGAACACCAAACCCCTGATCCTCCCTTAGACCTGCACCTCCCACAGTCTCCCCTCTTCCCTCTTCTACTGCACAGACCAAAAACCTTAAAGCCATTCCTTGACTGCTCTTTCTCTCATCTAGTAGAGGTGACAGACATAGAGATGACTCTAATATGGAGTGGAAAATGCAACGTCAGCTGTGGTCAGAACAGAGAGGAAGGGCACCTGGACCAGTCTGGACCCCATTTCGCAGATGACAGCACCAGCACCTCGACCCCATTTCACAGATGACAGCACCGAGGCTCAAATGTAAACTCACTTGCCCAAGGTCCCCAGCTAGCAAGGAGCAGAGCCCAGGTTGAAACAAGGTAGGCTGGCTCAGGACTATGCTCTGACCACTGTGTTGGCTGCCTCCTGAGCACAGGACTGGGAGTCAGGGACCCAGGACTCCTCGCCAGCTCTGCTACAAGACTGATTACCTATTTCTAAAAGAGCCAACCCTACAGTTCAAGAGATAAGTAGAGTCACAGGGAAAGCACAGAAAGTGCAGCCAACCATACCCACTCCCTCAGGTGAGTCAGAGAAGGAAGGTTCAAGAAACTCATCTATGTAAAGCACAAGGAAAAGAGAAAAATGAGGAATGAAGAAGAAAACTCAAGAGTCATCTAGGCCAGGAAATATCAGATGTCCAGATTTCACAGACAAGTAAAATCTGACCCCGAATTTTGGAAACTAGCATTAAGGACTGTCTTCTTTATTTTGCCAAATACAGACATTAAAAAGATCTGCCAATTATCCCCATCATTGGGTCAATCCAGCCACCATTTATTTACCATGTGCCCTCTTCTTTGTTCTCCCCTGAGATACCTCATCCCTGAAGGGCTGATTGCCCCTGAGTTCTATCCTCACCCTCTTTTCAGGCCTCAGACTCCACCTGAGAACTGATCCACTCCTGGGGCTGTGGCTGGGGCTTACACCACAGAACATCTCCCAGACCAGCACCCCAGGGCCCCAGCCTTGCTCCTGAGCATCACACCGGGAAAGCTGCCTCCTGGGCAGGCTTCAAAACGAAAATCCTCTCCTGCTCCCTCAGTAAACACCACTCAGGCCACAGCAGAAGCCGAAACCCAAGAGTCATCACCTCTCTATCTTCCTACCACACTGCCCCCAGTGCCCCAACTCTCCCAAATTTCTCACACACAGCTCTTGGAAAATTCTAATCTAGATATTTCTGGATAGCTGCTTCCTAGAGACTACATTTCCCAGCCACCCTGCATCTAGATAGGGTCATGAGACAGCTTCTGGTCAATGGAATGTAGGTGGAAGGATGTCCACCACTTCTAGACTTGGCTCCTAGAAACCTCCCACGCAATCCCTTACTGTCCATCTTTTCCTTCTGCCCCCTGGAACTTGATACCTACAATAATGGCCTCAAGAGCCATCAGCTGAGGAGAGCAGAGCCTGGGTCAGCCAGCCTGGATCCCTGAATGACTGCAGGGATTAGGCCCCTACCCCACGTTCCCTGGGACCTGACAAGCGCAAGAAATAATGTCTACTAAGAGTACAAAAGAAAGAAAAAAGAGAGAGTGGGGAAAAAGAAAAGAAAGGAGGGAGGGAGGAACAGAGGTGGGGAGAGAAGGAAAGAACTAATTCTCCTAGATAACTAACTGGACTAGCATCTGAGCGGTTCCCCATGACACCCTCCTCTAAATCGGCATCCACGCCACTACCTAAGATCTGCTTCTAAAATGCAAACCTGATGGTTGCTCTCTCCCGCCATTTGCAGGGCCCCATCACCTTCAGGGTGTGGTCCAGACTCTTCGGCATAAACCTCAGCGAGCCCTTCCACAAACCTAACTGCCCACCTGCTAAGCGCAGACCGTGGGTGCTAAGCGCTGGGGAGACAGCCAGCCAGGGCCCAGCCTGCTGGGGCCTCTGCCCTCAGGGAGCGGACATTCTGTTGGGAGACGGGCGGAAAATAAAGAGCTCCCTGTGGCGCGTGGGGAAGAGTAAGAGGAGGAAAAGCGCTCAAAAGAAATCTTTAGGTTGAGGCCTGAAGGATTGACGGAGCAAACAAACCAGGAAGGGCATTCCAGGGAGGCCATCACCTAAGCGAAAGCTGGGGGTGTGCCAGGAACAGAGGGCACCCAGCGGGGGCTGCGGCTGGAGGGCGGGCGGGGACCAGCGTCCTAAGGTCCTTGTGGGTGATGGGAGGGAGCCTGCGTTTTCTGGCTTGTGGGCAGGTCAATAACGCTGAGTGGGGTTTAAAGATCCCTTCCGGCTGCTGGGCGGAGAAAGCCCTCATCGTCTGGCCCTCAAAGCTAGCTCGGGAGACCGGTGGGGTCGCGGAGACCCCAGGCCACCGCCTCCCCCTCCGATATTGCCACAGCCAGGGCGTCCCACCCGGTACCCGCGTTTATCTGTGTCTCTCTCTCCTCAGAGAGTGTCCTCAGGAATCTGGAAAACACCATTTGACCCCGAGTCCCTGGCACGGCGCTAGGTACTCAGTAGGTGCTCAATAAGTGTTCGCTGAAGTAAATGAAGGGGATGAGACCAAGGAAGGGCACCTAATTGTCTCCTCAAACTTCAAGAAGGGCCCCAAACGGGCTGGGAGGGGGTGGGCAGGCCCGGGTCCCCAGCACGCCGCCCTTCCGCCCCCGCCCCCGGCCCCCGTCGGGCCTGGCCCGGCGCCTTACCCGGCCCTCAGGAATTTGCAGGCGCCGTAGATCATGAACTTGCAGAGGTGCAGCTGCGCGCAGAGCCCCACACAGCCGGGCTTGGGGCCCTGGTGCGCGCGGCACAGGCGCAGCGACGAGGCGGCCAGCACCAAGCGCTCGGGGGCCGCCGCCGCGCCGCCCGCGTCCGCCCGCCGCACCACCACGAAGCGCCCGCGCTCCCGCAGCAGCCGCTCCAGCGCGTCGGGGCCCATGTCCGCCCACAAGCGACGCCGTAGCTCCGGCACCTCCAAGGCGCCCCCGGCCGCGCACAGCACCTGGGTCGCCTCGCCGACGACGGTGGCCATGGCCGAGCGGCGGGGGCGCGCTGCCGAGGCCTGCGCCCGTCGAACCGCGGGCTGGCGCGACGCCGGGGGCGGGGGATACGGGCCGGCGGTCTGCTCCCACGGGGTGGAGACGCCGGCGGGAAACGAAACCGAAAGCGACCCGGGCCGGGAAAAACAGAACCTGTGCGGCCTCGCCACGCCCCCACGGCCGCAGCTGAACCGCCGGCGCCTCCCGCCTCAGGGGCCCCAGCTGCGCGGCGGCCGGCCTGTCGGGGGCTCAGGCGCTCTTGCGGACGCTGCGGGTCGCGGCTGTGGCGGCGCCGCGGGGACTCCTCAGTAGGCCCCAAAAGGGGTTTCTTGGGCGTCTGAGGGGGTTGGGGCCGCTTCCTTCGGGGCAGCGCCTTCAGCCGGAGGGCGGCGGCGGAGACGGGCCGAGCTCACTCAGCCACGTCGGGGCAGCCCGCGCTTTCAAAGCAGCGCCCCACGCCAGAGCCCGGACGGAGCGGGCCGGCCCGTTGGTGGGGCAGGCTGGGACGCCGCCCGTTAAAGGGCTCACACGCCGCCGGGGCCAAGCCGGGGCTTCAGGGACGGCGCACGGAAACCTGGGCAGCGGATGTGGGTCCCAGCCCTCGGAACATACGAAAAAAAAAAAAAAAACGATCGCTCCGAATTGCTCGTCGTGCTTAAATGTTACTTCAGCTTCAGTGCATGCAGTGAATTCCTTAATTGAAACGGAAAAGCGTATGCCCTTTTAAAAACCAAATCCGTTTCTCTCAGCCCCTCCCTAAATAAAAATTGAAAAATATTTTGAAAGACCCTCAGAGCGAAGGACTTGTTCACACGGTAATGATGGAAATGTGGATCGGTAGAGCCCTTTAGGAAAGTAACCGGAAAATAGCTATGAAAAATTTAAACCGCGTATGACCTTTGACCCAGAAATCTTCCTTCTGAGAATCTTCCAGAAGTAAAAGGAACACTACGTAAGTTAGGTAGAGATGTATTACGGGTGGAGGTATGGTTTATGCAGGTTATTATACGGCTTTAAGAAGCATGCGTTAAATCGGCATGTTGACCTACGAGGACAGCCATGATGTGGTGTTAAGTGAGAAAAAAGAGAACACAAAAAAGAGAACCCTATTTGTGGGGGTGAGGAGCAGGATATTTTTTGATGAGCATGGGGAGAGATGAGGAAGGATACACACCACACTGGTGGTTGGGAGTGGGAAGTAGGAGGTACCAGGAAACTGGAAACGGGAAGATGAGGAGCAGAAAGATGGGGGCGGGAGGGGGAGAATACTTATGGTATAACATTAACTTAAAATGAATTAAAATTCTAACTATTACTACAAAAATGTAAGAAATTACTAAGTGTATGGATGAAGACTAGACAATAACATGGGCAAGTGAAAATGAATTGATTTAATTAGGAAATCGGGCGAGGGATTGTTCTGTTGGATTTTAATTGTGGTTTTAATTTTTTGATTGTGTAAAATTTTTAATTTAAAATTTTGATTTTTAATTTTAGTTGTGGTTCTTTTGCAATAAAATAACATTTCTTAAAAAGAAAGTAAGGATGATGTCAGTGAAAATGGTGGATTAAGGACCCAAGAAAGTTTGCCCTTCCATATAAGCAATGAAAAAAAACTGGCAAAAATTGTCAGAATCAACTTTTTCAGAGCTCTGGAAATTAACCAAAGGCTTGCATCAACCCATCTAACATTTAGGCAAGAAAAACAGCTGGATCTCAGTGAGAACAGCAATCTTTGTAGCATTTTAACTTACCCTAGTCCTATCTCCCCCTGTCCAGCTCCATGGCAGCCCACATTCCCAATACCTGTACCAGAGGGAGCAGACAGGGCTGTAGGTCTTTCAAAGCCTCATTCCCAAAGAGTCATTATTCAATCTATCTAGTGATTCCCTGGAAGACCCCTGAAAAGGCCTGTCTTTATTCAATCTCATTGGAATTGGCCCAGTCCTAAAGGTTTCTGCCCTTTAGGAAGGATGGGATGGGAGGGATGTTTGTCAATGTTTTAACATCATGATTGGCTGAGGCAATGGATAACAGTTGGGGCAAACAATAGAATAACCAAAAATCACAAAAGGAAAAGCTAAAGAATGAAATGTCCACTCACGATTAGCTAACACTGAGTCTCTGGGTGAGCAGGCAGTAAAACCTATGCAGAGTTGCAAATTGCCTAATGAATGTTGAAGGCATGTCCTAAAATGCAAACAGCCCCTCAGCAAAGATGAGGAAACATATTGGTTCCAGGTGTTTAAGGAAATCTCCATCCAATTGTTAGCTGACCACTAAGCTAATCAAGTAGAGACTTTAATAGTCACACACAATGAAGATACAAACTTTACAAAATTAGTTCAGAAAAGTCACTAAACAAATAGCAACTATTACAATAAGCAGCAACAACAAACCCTGAGGAGGGGAAGAATCTGACTCTGAGAGTTGCCACATTATTTGAAATGTCCAATTTTCAACCAAAAATTATGAGATGTGTAAAGAAAGCAAATAAGAGCAATCAATAAAAACTGTTCCTGAGAAAGCCCAGATGTTGGATTTTGTAGACAAAGACTTTAAATCAGCTATTTTAGATATATTCAAAGAGCTAAAAAAAAAAAAAAAAAAAAAAAAAAAAAAAAAAAAAACTATCTCTAAAAAATTAAAGGGAAGAATGAGATGATGCCTCACAAAACAGAATATCGAGGAAACAAAAATTATAAAAAGGAAACAAATAGAAATTCTGGAGCCAAAAAGTATAATAATTGAAATGAAAAATTCACTGGAGGGGTTCAGTAGCATATTTGAGTAGGCAAAAGAAAAAAGTCAGCAAACTTGAAGATAGATCAATTAAGATTATCTAGTGTGTGGAACAAAAAGAAGAAAGAATGAAGAAAAATGAGCAGAGACCTGTGGAACACCATCAGTTATACCAAAGACACATCATGGAAGTCCTAGGAGAGGAGAGAGAGAGAAAGGGAAGAGAGAATATTTGAAGAAATTATGGCTAAAACTTATGAAATTTGATGAAAACATTAATCTACACATCCAAGAAGCTCAATGAACTCCACATAGGAAAAACTCAAGAAAATCCACACCTAGACACATCATAATCAAACTTTTGAAAGACAATCTTAAAAGCAGCAAGAGAGAAGCAATTCATCATGTACCAGGAATCCTTAAGAAAATTAACAGCTGATTTCTAATCAATAACCATGCATACTAGAAAGTAGTGGGATGACATATGCAAAAATGCTAAGAGAACCAACCAAGAATTCTATATCTAGCAAAGGTATCTTTCAAAAATGAAGGAGAAATTAAGATATTCCTAGATAAATAAAAGCTGAGAGAGTTAGTTGCTGGCACTTAGAGAAACACTAAAGGGAGTTTTTTGGGCTGAAAGTAAAGGATGCTAAGCAGTAACTTGAATTCTCATGACAAAATAAAAAGCACCAGTAAAGGTAAATACATAGGCAAATGAAAAAGTGTATATGTATTTTTTGTTTGTAACTCCCTTCACCCATCTGATTTAAAAAACAACTGCCATAATGCAATACTTACAAATCTAAGTTGATGGGTAAACAATGTGTGAAGATGTAATTTGTGACAATAATAGCAGAAGGAAATGGGGAAGGAAAATGAAGCTATAGAGAAGCAGTTTTTGTATACTGTTTGAGTTAAATTGATATTAATCCAAACTAGATTTTTATAAATTATGATGTTTATAATTTTCAGTGCAACCAAAAGCTCAAAACTATATAATAAAAGAAATCACAAGAGAATTTAAATGGCACACTAGCAAATATATATTTAACATAAAAGAAAGCAATGACAGAGGAGTTGAGAAACAAAGACAAAAGGCATACAGAAAAAAATAGCAAAATGGCAGACAGAAATTCTACCTGATTAGTAATTACATTAAATGTAAATAGATTAAACTCACCAATTTGAAAATGGAGATGAGCATAATGAACCAAAACAAACAAAAACAAAAAATATGACCCTTCTATATGCTGTACACAGTAGACACATTTTAGATTCAAAGACATAAATAGATTCAAAGTAAAAGGATGGAAAAAATACACCATAAAATTGGTAACCAAAAGAGAGTTAAAGTGGCTATACTAATATCAGACAAAATAAATTAAAGACAAAAATTCTTACTAGAGATAAAGAAGAACATTTCATAATGGTCAAAGTGAATATTCCAAAATATATAATAATTATAAACATATGCACTAACAACAGAGTTTCAAAATACATGAAGCAAAAACAGAGAGAACTGAAGGAAGAAATAGATAATTCAACAATAATGAAGACTTTAATACCCTACTTTCAATAATGGATAAAACAACTAAACTAAAGATCAGGAAGGAAATAGAAGGGCAATACTAGAAACCAAATAGAACTGAAAGACATCTATAGAACACTTCAACAATAGCAGAATAAACATTCTTCTCAAGTGTACATAAAAAATTCTCCAGGTTATAACAAATGTTATGCCATAAAACAAGTCTCAAGAATTGTAAAAGAAATTATATGAAGTATGTTCTCTGACCATACTAGAATAAAATTAGAAATCAATAACAAGGAAATCTGGGAAATTCGCAAATATGTGGAAGTCAAACAACAGACTTCTAAGTAACTAAGTCAAAAAAGAAATCACAAGGGAAATTAGAAAATACATTGAAATAGGTGTAAATCAAAACAAACTTATGAGATGTAGTGAAAGCAGTGTTTAGAGGGAAATTTACAGCTATGATTGCCCATGTTAACAAAGAAAGATCTCAAATCCATAACCTAACATTCCACCATAGAAACTAGAAAAATAAGAGCAAACTAAGCTCAGAAGGAAGGAAATAATAAAGATTAGAGTAGAAATAAATACAATAGAGAACAGAAAAAGAATACAAAAGATCAATAAACCAAAAGTTGATTCTTTAACAAGATTAGAAAAAAAATCAACAAATCTTTACCTGGACTTACCAAGAAAAATATAATGGAAGACTAAAATTAC